TGGCTTTAGATTTCACAGATTACTCTTCTACAACATTACCACGATACTATGAATAATATCGAATAGTGAAATGAACATTGTAGAGATTTTGTGTGTAATTAAGTTAGATCTGGGTTTACTTCAAAAAATAACAACCCCACCACTACAACTAAGCAATTTTTGGAAGCCTTTTTAAATAAGTTAGATTATGTATACATTTGCTTTGAGTGAAGGGGAAAAAAATAGTTCTTGAAATATTTGGTATTAACACCCACTCATAGGGATGTGAGTAAGTCTGTGTTCCTGGTGTAGTTCTGTCTTACTCAGCTATTTGTGAAGCCAGAGCAAGGATAATCCTTGTTTGTTCTAGTTTCCTTCATTCAGTTTAAATGTGGTGGGCTAATCAACCACATGCTGGGTTTAAAATCATAAGTGACACACTTTGGAGAATGCTTGCAAAGCTGTAATTTTTTTATTTGCTAAGGCAGCATTTGGCTTGCATTTTTGAATAGATGAACAATATTGCTTGTAGATGGAAGAACAAAAGTGTGGAGACAGCATGGAAAGGTAAGGGGGATGGGTTCTGTACTTCATGGAGGTAAAGGATGGAACTGTAAATACTGAATTTGGACTGGGACTTATTATGACTATTTAGCAATAACTGAAATAAAATTCAGTCTTTTTTTACATCTTTATAAGGCCTTTAAAGCTGTGTGCAACTGAACAGAAAATGAAACAGCTAATATATGCAAAATATTAAGAGGAATATTGCCACTGTGGCATAAAATTAACTAAAAAATCAACAACAATCAGCAACTCAATTTCTGTTGGAGAATCTGTCAAATTCATCATTAATTTTTGTCTTTGTTATTCCAACCACTCCAAAACTGAGAAAAAATGAATTCCCTTTCTTACACTGAATTCTGAAGTGCCTAATCAAAACATGCATTACCAAAGAGAAGCTGGATCTATTAAGTAATGATGTTTATATTTTACTGAGAATTTTTATTTCATTCTTATTTTGCCTTCATGTGAAATATTTTTAATGTAAAACATCGTGTATATCCAGTTACTTGCGGTGTTCTACAGCTATAAATCTGACAGTAAATGTTCTTTCTTGTAAAGTAAAATTTAACTTTGTCTTATACATCCAGACAATTCCTTAAGTTAATGATAGGAATAATTAATGCAATAATAATAGATGTAATAGATATTAATGAACAATGAGTACAGTTTAAAAGTTTGTCTCGTTATAAAGTTTGTCAACTATAAAGATTGTCAAATAATTATCTTCAACATTTTTTTCCAGGAAATATAGTTTTCTTAGGTCTCAGTGATGTCTTAGTACTTTTAATAGAAATAAACCCAACATTGATGAATAGACATCTTCTATTCCAAAGATAGTAATTATGGTGAGGAAACCAAAGAATAATTTCTGTGGGCCCAGAATGCAGTTTATACTTTAGTGACACACAATTTTTATTTGGGGCAGATACAAAGAACTTTTTTCCCCTTTTGACTATTTCTTTTTTAGAAATCTATAAAGAGGGATATTTGTCAAGTGAAAGGCCTCAATTTTATTTTTCTGATGAAAATAAAGTGTCACAGATGCATTGTCATCACACAAAACCATATAAGAATCAATTAAAAATACCACTGCAGGTGTCTGTATTCACGAAGAGATATATTTTCCTTCAAATTGAAAGACACATGAACTACATTAACATATCACTTCTTCAAATTTGGGATTTTACTTCTTCTCTTTTGTCTACAAAAGACAGTTCACAAAATTTTGAAGGAGGTTATTAAGTCTTCCATATCATGTAGATAATCTGTAACAGAAAAAAAAATCCTCAGTATAGCTACCCACTAAGTGCATGAAGAATATAAAATTCAGTATGGATGGGTGGACAGATGGTATCTGGTCAACACAGTTAAGTTTTGCTCCCTACATCTCTGCTCACTTACATGCACCTGTTCATTCACTTTGCTAAGGTGTTAGGGAGAAAGCTGCGGCAAAAGATGAGGTTAGTGTTTATGTCACTAAGGCACTGTACAAGTCTTCATTGCTACACTTAATACTTACTCAAAAATTGATCTAATTTCTGATTGTAAAGTATACATTAATTTCCCAGATAATCAATATTATTGTGTCTTTGATGAAATTATTCTTCATTACCACTGAACTTTTTGAGTCTTACTCATGCAGCTTTTGATGCACTGATTTTTTGTGTCTGATTTTAAGTGTCTGTTAGAAAGCCAGAAGCAGCTCTTTGATTTGCTGCCCAGTGTTAACCCACCAGGGGCTGCTGTAGACTGTGTAATGGACCGTGCACCAGATGGGAATTGCTGGGACCATATGCCAGATGGAATTTTATCCAAAATGCCTATTGCAATGAGAAAAGCCTGTTGCATATTTATCTGTAGTTTAGTCAGCCACTGAAATTCACGATCTTCTATGACCTTGTAGTCTCAAAAAATTCTCTGCTATGACACATTATGATTATAGTCTCTGGTTTTGTAATATAAATATTAATAAATCTTCTCTTAATCAAGAAAACTCCATTATAAAAATTGATCGAAATGCTGTTGGATAGAAAATTAAGAAGAAAGGAGGAGTTACTCAGAAACAGTAACTGAGAAACTGCTAACATTGTCATATTTTGAGAAACAAAATGCTGCCTACGTAATAGTTTCTGAACAACCTTTTCAGAATAGAACCTGTTGATGTTTGCTGATGACTCAAGTTCTTGATTTTTTGATAACTTAATATATATTCTTCAAGGAGTCATCAGACATGCAACTGTCCTGAAATATGACTTTATTTTCAACTTTTTGAACTATGGTTCTTTTCCTGCAAGTTATCTTCACACTAGTATCCAAGCTCCTAAAAATTAAGAAAATATAAAATATTTATTTACTTGTACCTGAGAGGGAATCATTTTGTCAGAAGTGCTAGCATTTTAGATATTTTAGGAATAGTGATTCTAAAAAAAAATAATATGAAAACATGTATAGTAATTTTAGTCTTGCAGCAGTAGCTGTTGTAAGCATACTGTAGTGATCTGCAACTGCTGCAGTCTACCATTTTTTGCCCTATTATGGCAGCTAGTTAGTCTTGATAATTCAAGAATATTCCAGCTGCAATATTTCAATCACTTGGTATTTCAATGCTTATTTTAAGTAAAAAAATATAAAGAATTTAACAAAGGTCTGTCAGCTCATGAAAATCATATTGAAATCATCAGCAGAACGCTTCGTTCAAAACATAAACCATTTGCAAACATAAGTGAGAAAAACCCAGGCTAAAAGACCAATAATATTGTCACCAATTAATAATGCATGTCTTACTCAATTCAGGTGAATAAATTTCAGCTTGAATATTTAAATCACTGCAGCACTGTTATTTTTAATGACTTAGTCCCTGATTTTTTGCTGATGCAAACAATATTATCTCAGATTCTATTATTTACCTATTATAAGACAAATTATGCCTGGAGATTTTGTTCCACTGTGATTCATTGAATGTGTTATAGCTTTCATGTAGTTTTAGACCAAAACTTAACTAGTTTCAGAAAGCTGTAAAGGTTTAATTTAAAGTAAAATATATTCTCATAAAATATAATAGCAATTTCAAGTTTCCAGTGAAAAACACTGGAATACATTTCAAATTTGTATTAGTTTCCTGATTCTCTGTCAGTAGGAAAAAAACAAAACAAAACAAAACAAAACAAAACAAAACAAAACAAAACAAAACAAAACAAAACAAAAACAAAAACAACAACAAAAAAAGAACAACAAAAAACAACATATATACATTTTACAACAACAACTTGCTAAATAGACTAAACATGTGTGTATATATATATATATATATAAATACTTATGTATTTCTGATTTCAGGGCCTGATGTACTGCATTTTTTATTGCATTGGGTTTACGTAGCAAGATTTTGGTAACAAGGTGGGGGGGCTGCATGGATGGCTACTCTGAGAAGACACCAGAAGCTGCCACCATGTCCGACAGTGCCAGCTCCTGCCAGGTCTAAGACAGACCCACTGCTGGCCAAAGCCAAGAGAATCAGTGACATTTGTAACGTCTCTGTGATAACATATTTAAGAAGGGGTAAAAACTGCTGCATAACAACAACTGGGAGAGAAGAATGAGAATATGTGAGAGAAAAATTTATGCAGACACCAGAGTAAGTGAAGAAACAGGAGGAGGTTCTCCAGGCACTGGACAAAGATTCTCCTGTAGTCTGTGGTGAAGACCATGGTGAAGCAATTTGTCCCTTTGCAGTCCATAGCTTTTAACAGTGGAGCAGATATCCACCTGCAGCCCATGGAGGACCCCACGCTGGATCAGGTAGATGTGCCCAAAGGAGGCTGTGACTCCATGGAGAGCCCATGCTGTAGCAGGCTTCTGACAGGACTTGTGACCCTGTGGGGGAATCCATGTTGGAGCAGTCTGCTCCTGAAAGACTGCACCTCATGGAAAGGGCCCACACTGGAGCAGTTCATGAAGAACTGCAGTCTGTGGGAAGGACTCACATTGGAGAAGTTCATGGAGGACTATCTCTCACGGGAGGGACTCTGTTCTGAAGCAGGGAAAGAGTGTAAGGTGGGAGGAGCAGCAAAGATGATGTGTGATGAACTAACTGCAACCCCCATTCTCTGTCCCCCTGTGCCACACAGGCGGAGGAGGTTGTCCTGGGTTTGAGTGAGTGGTGGGGTCTTTTGGTAGCAGTAGAGGGGGCTATAGGGGTGGCCCCCTGTGAGGGTCCAGTCTCTTCGGGGACATGTTTGTTGGTTGGTTGGTTGGTTGGTTGGTTGGTTGGTTGGTTGGTTGGTTGGTTTTTGTTGTTGTTGTTGTTTAGTTTTTGGTTGTTTTTTTTTGTTTTGTTTTTTTTTTTTTTTTTTTTTTTTTGTGCTTGATTCAGCAGCACATATACTGCATTGCTGAGGGGAGGAGGTAGGTTTCTGTAGTGTAGCAGTTATCACATTTGCCTCACACATGAAAGGTCCCCAGTTTGTTCCCAGGTGGAAACATCAAAAATTGAAACGATACAGAAAAGGTTAGCATGGCCCCTGTGCAAGGGTGACATGCAAATTCGGCCCCCTGTGTCAGTGGGGGGAGGAGGTAGAGATATCCAGAGCAGAGCTGAGCCTGGGAAGAAGGGAGGGGTGGGCAGGAAGGTGTTCTCAAGATATGACAATGCTTCTCACTGTCCTACTCTGTTAAGTGTTGTTGTTAGTGTCTGTAGTAAATGTATGGCTTTTTTTCTTCCCCTAATGAGTCTGCGTTTTGCCTGTGACAATAATGGGTGATTTGCCCCTCCCAGTCCTATCTCGAATCCCAAGCCTGGCTCATTTGTCCCTTCTCATTGCTGGGAGGGAAGGGAGGAGTGAGCGGCTGTGTGGTGCTCAGTTGCCCTCTGAGCTCAAACCACGACAGAGGTAGAGAAAATCGAGAATGAAGTTGAGTCAGAAAGAAGGGAGGGGTCGAGGAAAGGTGGTTTCAAATTTGGTTTTATTTTTCATTATCCTACTCTATTATAAATTGGCAAGAAATTAAATAATTTTCCCCAAGTCAAGTCTGTTTTGTCCTTGATAGTAAATGCTAAGTGATCTCCCTATCCTTATCTCGTCCCACAAGCTTTCAGTTGCATTTACTCTCCCTGTTCTTTTAAGAAGGGTGAGTGATAGAGTGTCTTGGTGGGCACCTGGTGGCTAGTCAAAGTCAACCTGACATATTTAGAAACAAAAAGTTATTTTGTTTTTTGTACATGTTGTTATTATGATTGTTATTGTTATTATTTAAAGATGATCTGATCTAAGTTTTGTCTGGCCAATAACTTGATGGAGATCTCAGCCATAACCATAAATCCAAGAACTGACCAGTGTGGGAGCAATAGTTACTGTAATGATCCAGGATGCTTGGAACCATCTGATTTCAAGACAATGTGTTTCCTGAGTCAGAAAGAAGGATTTTATTTATTTATTTATTTATTTATTTAAATGTGCAGAAGGCACATGTTGTATACCTGTTCAGTCAATGACAGCCAAAATTATACTATGTGTCTTTACTAAGCAAACTACAAACAGGAAAAATAATATAGTTTGAAGTCATAAGCATCAGCAATGTGAAGGACAAGAGATTGAAATTATAAGTGAGGTCATCTTGACTGACCTGAATTTCTATTAGAAATACCTCATATGTTACATGACACGGTCAGTCCTCTGCTATCTAATTGCAGACCACAAAGAAAAAAAGTAGTTTTTACAGTGGAGATCAGGAAATGAATCTGTAAAATTGTAATATTGCCCTTGTTTTTTCAAGTAGTTAATTTTTATTTTCTTTTCCTTATTGTCTGTATGTAAATGAGAAAAAATCGTAATAATTTCCTAATGATAATCATCACACTGTTACTGCATTATTCACTGGAGTTTTATTTTATGCAGTAGTTCCTAACAGCTAAAGTTTATAGACCGTTTCTTCACAAGTGAAGAAAAAGAAAGAAATAAAAAAGATGTGGTTAAAACACAACTTTGACATGAACTGGAAGAATATAATTATTTTTTTTTGTTAGATGACCTCTCTAGAAAAGCATGGGGCCTTTTTTCTCATGGAACTTGAGGTGGTGCTAAAAAGCTACATGTAGGCAGTCAAGATTTCTGGCTTCAGTCAAATACCCATAGGTAGCTGTAGACACTGAAGATGCTTTACCCTGACATGCAGTAAGACCCATGTATGCTTAAACAGAAATTGTATCAAGACTTCTTTGTCAGCAAGCTTGTATTTTTCTGTGCATACCATTCTCATCTAGGTGATTAATTGCAGTTTCTCTCAGTCATGATTGACACAGATCCATGGGATTTCTTCCTGGAGGATGCAGACTCTTTGAAGAATATTGACCATATGATCTTCTCACTTATCATTAAATCCTGTTTTAGAATTTAGATTAATAAAACTTTCAATTTAATATTGTTCTAGTTGTAATAACAAGGGTTAATTAAAAGACATTTTCTCATTTCAAAATTAAAGCAATAGTATATTTTATTTTGCCAGTCTTGAAACAAGTATTTCAGGTGGAAAAAAAAAATATTTAAAGTATAAGCTAAGATCAGATAAAATTTGTTCTGATTTTTGTTCAGTTCCAATGCAAATACTTGTGTACGTGTAATTACATGAAAGAACAAACTTAAACACTTCCATTCATTCATCCATTCACACACTTCTGTTCAACCATACATTCCATTGCCTGTCACAAAGTGCTTTCATGTAGTGACTTATTTTCATATATTATGTATTCTTTTGTGATAGATTGTTCAACAAAAATAGACTCATCTCAATTTTCTCTTTGAAAATTCTCCTAGAATTTAAAAAAAATATGTGTTTTCTTTTTTCCCCTGACCATGTGATTTATATTTAAAATATAATAATTCATGTATATATGATTTTCAGAGATTTTACTTTTACTAAATTTGATGTTCAGAGGTTTGAGAGTGCATGATACAGGCCTATGAACTTAAAAGGTGACAGAAGACTTTCCTGAATGTGCACCCACCACCCAAGATTTCCAGACTCTCCCTTTCATGCATCCACCACCCGAGATTTCCAGACCTTTTAACCTGTCATTTGGTGTCATTTCACCTTAATCTAACCTGAGGGCATCACAGAACTTTTACAACTACCTGGGATCCCAGTCCAGGTCATAACACCATCTTCCCCAAAGTCTTTCACATTTGTCACCAGTTGCCATCAAAGAGACCAGAAACGTGGACAAAATCTTTCTTTTAGGAATCTCTGGAAACCAGTCTAAACATGTTTCATTAAATCTACTGAAAAGTGTTAATTAAACAAGCTATATAATCCACAGGAAGCTAAACCCTGGTGCAGGGGATATTATAGGAGGGTTTATGGAAAGATAAATGGTTACACTTCCATGTTTCTTCCTAGCTGATGAGCTATGAAGATGAGAGGATGACTTACCTTCTCTACTCTGCTTCTTCATGATCAGCTGCCTCTTGAGAAAGGATTAGGGGGAAAAGATTTCTTCCACTCAGTAGTGAGACAAATATATTGCCTGAAAGTCTACATATTGTGAGATCCCTATTATCATTAACTAAATCTACATTCTTTATTTACAGTTTTTTACAATTCATTATTTCTTATTGCATATTTAAATCATTATTTGAAAATCAGCTCTTGATTAACTTCTTTAGTCAATATTTCTGCGTTCATCAGTGATGAGAAAGGAAATTAAGTTGCACAAAGCTGCAATAGCTGGGGCTTATGAAGTAATACAATTTATGCAGACTGTTAGAGTGTGAATATATGGGTCATTAAGAAGTTGCAATGTTTTCCTTTACTTTTTCAGGGAATGTTCATCTTAATATGGCTGATTTGCTGAGAATTAATAAAACACACTGCAGATCAGTGTTGTATATTTAGCTTTTGCTTAGATAATACAGTCTTTCTAAATTTTGTGGCAAAGTGAGATCATGGGAACCCTGAAAACACTCTGTACAAGCTTAACATGATTTGTGAAGAAAGCTCTGTGGAAAGCAAGGGCCACAAACAACTTAACAGAGATATTCATTCCAAGGCAATTTACTTACAAGGCTGATAGTGACAGGTCTGAGAAATTACTATTTTAGGAAAGCCAGAAGCAAATCAGAAGAATAGTAAATTGACTCCTCTCTGTGTCTAGTAGAGCCACAGATTGAAAAATATCAAGTTATTCTTCATCCAGATGTCTCAGATAAAAAACAAACAAACAAACAAACAAACAAACAAACAAACAAACAAACCAAAACAAAACAAAACAAAAAAAAACAAACAAAAAAAACAACCAACCAAACAAAAAACCCCAGATGCTGCTGTCTTTGGTGAGTTTGTTTTTGATATTTTATCCCCCTTTTAATATTTCTTACTTTTTAAATTCCTTTCTTTGTTTCTTTACACATATGACTGATTTATACAGAGTGGGAATAAATGAAAAATTTTGTCACATGCTTTGAATTCCACTGAAGCTTAACACCTTTATTTGCAGACTTCAGGACAAGATATAGGGTCATATAGTTTATGACATCACAGATCATTGCATGTCAGAAAGTATGTACCTTGACACTTGTGTCAGTTGCTTGAGAAAGAAATTACAGAGTCTTGACAAGTTAAAACCTTCCAGAAGCAACAGGAGACACTGTAGGTTTTTGCTAATCTTGTATGCAACTTCAGCCGTGTAACAGTTCAGTACCATCTGTTAAAGAAACAGGAAACAACACCACAAATTTGCAACACAATTTCCAAACAGCCTGATATATGCCATATTCCTTGGGGTGAACTCACACACAGCAATTCTTATGTACATCTGGTACAGACAGGACCACAGGCAATTGCGTGATGAATGCCCTGCCACATATGACAGATGTTGCAAGTGGGGATAGTATACATATATATGTTGTTCAGGGGCTAAGTCCCATGTATATGAGCCAGCTGCAGATGATAAACTGGAATATCTTCCCAAAACATGCCCTGGCAATTAAAACTCAGCCAAGTTATTCATCTGAGGACATTATTTTTCAAGACACTTCACTCTGCTTTAAGACTGACTCAAAACTGCTGTTGCAGGAATGCATGATAATAGGATCTCATATGATTCATCTTAATCTCTCCTTTCCTATTATTGAATTGAGAAGTACACCCTGGGACCTCTTGCATGGGATGCATGCATTATATAGTGCTGTCTAAATGAGCAGATATAAAGACTTTTAGTGACTACTGCTGAGCTTTAAGGGAAGTAAAGAACACATCAGGAGCAAAGCTTGAAGTTATATCAACCTGTGAGAGTAAATTTGTCTGAAAGCTCCAAATGTTTTTTCAGTGACTACAAAATCTAAAATAATTCTTCACAGCCACACGTAAGAAAAAGTATTTTCCCTTTAACACTTTCTGTGAGTACAGCTTCTTTTTCCAAAACAGTTTCAACTTGTGGTTCAGAATGTAGTTATTGAAGAAGCTGATCAGACTTCTGATTGCTGTTTAAGTCTTGTAAGTCTTCCACGGCCAAACATGAAGCTATTCACATGTAAGTCAAATACCTAATGACAAATGCCTAACATGA